TTAGCAGAGCCTCCTGTGAGATGAGCGCTTCTCTCACGGTGAGTTAATGCTGGATTAGATTCGGAGATTTCAAGGAAATTCCAAGTGGAACGAATCGTATTTCCCTTCTGCTCGCTGCAAAGCTGGGCCGGAGCAAGGCGCAGGGCTTTGGCGGCATCTAGCAAGGGTACTCTGCTTGAGTCCCCACGGGCGGCAGGTCAGGGAGTTGCTCCGGACTGCGAGCTTACCCAAGCCAGGTTTCCTTCAGACAGCCCACGATCCTGCTTACTCAGCCGTGAGTCCCCTATTTAACAAAGGCAGCATAGACCCGGCTGGAGAGAAGGCAGGCTTCCCAGGCGAATTTGTCGGTTTCGGCACTGGTAAGCAGGGAAATGCTGATATAAGCGTCAGGGGCTGGTTGCGGGCAGGTCAGTTTCTCTTTGTGTCAATTTCCCGAGTGCAAGGTAATCCACCAAAGCAGTGAGGAGATTTGCGCACAGAAGCCATTTGCACGGGTCCTACCCCAAACGATTCCTCACCATTTGGGGCCTGTGCCAAAACGGTTTCTAGTCCATGGTGACCCCAGCGCCCCTGGCAGCAGTCTCCGGCGCAGACTTGAGCCATGCTCTGGGGAGGATCTGTTCTTGCAGAGCGAGCGAGAGAACAAATGAGTTGGGGTCAATACTCTGAGAGGTGGACAAACCTTTAGCTCAGCTAAGGGGGGATTGGGGAACAAAATGGGGAGGGTTGATGCCTGTACTTCTCTCCTCACCAGCCAGAATTCACAGACTCCCACTGCCTCCTGTGCAGAGCTGGGAGCCCCAGGAGTCAAGTCGGCCCTTGGGGAGATAGCATCAGAACCAGTGGTCTCCTGGCTTGTGCATGAGGGTGGAGAAGGAGGCTCCTTTCAGGTTAAACGGGTTACGCTGGAAAATGCCAGTGTCTCTGTCCCTCCTTGTCCCTTCCTTCATCTGCCCCCTCCTCGAGAAGTGCTCTCTCCTCCCATTTTCAATCTTCCCGGCAGCATGGTGGGGGGCTGGGCCCTACCTAGCCAGCCTAGCTTTCAGAGGCAGCTTCTCTGGAAGTGCTTTGGTTCTGACATCTAAAGCTATTTGCTTGTACACTGTAGGCCCACCCTGGGGCCCGATTTGTTGGCTATTGAGGGGGGTGCACAAGTAGATCCTGAAAGGTCACTGGTGTAGTAGGGACTCAGACCAAGTCCCATTTCATCTTCTTCCTTCCTGGCCCTGGTCAGCTTTCCCCCCTACACCCCCCCAGGCCCCCATTCCCGGTGGAGTGAGACATCTTCTGTGGGGAGGTGGTATTGGGGGAGGGCAAGGCACTGCTGGGAAATTGGCTTCTGTGTTCTCTTGCCCCTACTCCCTATTCTAGGGCTCATCCTTTTCATCACAATGGCCTCCCACCATTGTTGCCCAGATGTTTCCTTCCCCCAGCTATGGTTTTCAGTTATAAAGCACTTTCATGCCCATTCTCCTACCTGAGTGTCATCTAAACCCTCTGCTACACCCATTTTACAGAATATGACGATTGAAGCCAGGCAGACAAAAGGACTAACAAGAAGTTTACATGGGCAGAGCTGGAGGCGGTTCTTGGGTATTCTTGGATTCATGGAAGGGGAGAGGGAGGGACTCCAGATTCCAGAGAGAGGGTAGTGTCCTGTCTGAGTGAGCACACACATATGCAAGGCACTCCCTCTCTCTGGTTTAACTATATCCGTACCCATGATCCGACTGTCCATCTGTGTCAGCGCCTGTCTGTTGGTTAGAACCTGTTAAGGAAATTTCATCCCTCCTCTTTCCCTGTGTCCCTGTTTGCATTCTGTGTGTCCCTTCATTTATCCTCTCTGGTGCCACTAGGAGGAATTTCAATAACCCTGTGGGGTTCTGGAGTTCAGTCTTTGGGCTGAGTCAGCAGACCCTCTCCCCAGGCCCCCTTACCCAGCTGTGGTCTTCAGGAGTTGGAGAGGGTCCCTGGTGGGTAGTGTGTCCTTATCAGGGCCTAAGGAGCATGTGGAGGCCAGCCCTTCCAGCCCAGAGCCACAAAGGCCTCAGGGGTATCTTCAACCCTTCTCCCCTCACCCTCCTCCAAGCCCTGCTTAGCCTGCCCTATGGGGGCAGTATCTATGTGTCTGTTTCCTGGTCTTTGCCTTGATTTGTTTGCATCTGTCTCTGTGCCAGGCTCTGTGAAAATTCTACTTGGCCTTGAGGAGTGTAGCTGAGAACATGCACCCCCCCCACCCCCAGGAGATGAACCCTCACCCAGCTGGAGTCCATAGGAAGTAGAGGCTGGGACTTGGGTTCTCTGAGGAGATGCAAGACAGGAGCCGTGGTCCCAGAAAACAAAGATTACTCTCCACAGAAGTCCTCTGTCTTCCAGATGCCCCTTTACTGGACTTCTTCCATTTTCTCTTCTGGTCTTCTTGCCTCCCACTGTACACCACACTCACCTTTCTTTTCGTTGCTTCTACTAGCCGATCCATTCTTTTTTCTCTTCTTCTGCCTTTCTAACCTGAGGCTTCCCTTCTGGGCTCTCTGTCCTTGCTGTCTGTTTCATTTAGTTCCTATGCATTGCATCCTTCCCCTTGCTTTTCCTCTCTTCTTTCCCCATCCTGCGTCCCTCTCTCAGGCTTCTGGTTTTACTTCTTTCTAATCTCAGGGTAAATGGGAGACATTGCCTTCTCAGAGGAGGTAAATTACCTCCCCACCACCCTTGAAATGCTCTCTATTGGATAGGACTGTGCCTGAGGCAGAAAGGGCTCACCCAAGTGAGTGTGGGAGTCTTTACTGGAAGTTGAGGGAGATAGGGGGCTCCAAGGTCATCCTGAGTCTGGGGTCAGGTGTGGTTCTTGGATCAGACTTTAGAAGAACATTGGTAGCCTTGTCTTTGTGGTCAAAAGTAGAGAGTTTGGGAACCTGCTGTCACCTAGAGTGTCCGACCCTTGGGGTTTTTCCCTGGTGCAAACGGTCCCAAAAGCTCACAAATGTCCCGCAGGACTGCTCTTGGAATTTAAGTCTTCTGAAGGTTGCCACTGCATTTTGGGCAGAAAGTTTATATTACCAGTAGCATAGGGAACAAGCGATTGCAAATGGGTCACGATGCCTGGACTATAGGTTGTTTCAAAAGTGCGCTGGATGCTTTTAGCTTCCTTTTTATTCTCTCAGGTGGGCTTGTACCAATTTTGAATTTACTTTCTTCTTCAGGTCAGCCTGTTCTTTAAAGATCTGTACAATCCTTTTTTATTAGATACTCCCAACCCCAGAACAAAGCCTTCTTAAGGCCCTTGACTAGGGGTGGCCGCAATCTTTCTGCTTTAGGTGAACTACGCAGTTTTGTTTCTAACTGCAAAATCCGGTTGGGGATGGTTTGCCTTTTTCTTATGTCTGGGGTGTTTTAGAACAATCAAAACCGATGAAAACTCATTTCAAAAATGAGAGAGAAATTCAGCTAAGTATTAGAATTAGGTACTGTCATTACCTATAAAATAATGTTTTTCCTTGAAATCAGCCTGAGCTTGGAAATTTGGGAAATATTCAGTTAGGACCTTCATGGGAAACTTCAGTGAATAGCTTTGGCAGTTTTTAGGAAATAGGTCATGTTATGAGTGTTTCCTCCCCTTTTATTTCAGATGTTGTTCATGAACTTAGATAGTAACTGAGTGCTGGGGGGAGATTGCTGAAATGAGGTGGCTATTTTATGTTTTAGAGTTGGAGAGAGAGAGAGAGAAAGTGTGTGTGTGTGTGTGTGTGTGTGTGTGTGTGTGTGTGTGACATCTGAGATGCTTTAGCTTCCCTGGTAGAGTCTAGTCCCAGCCAAGTCCCAGTTTAGACAGAGATTTCCCCATCCTTGGTCTCTGAGCTACCAGCAGCATTGATAAAATGGCTTTTGGCTTTTGACTGTCCTCAGTGATGTCAGTTAGTGGCTGATTAACACCTACAAAGTCAATGATGTTATATACTGGATGTTATGTACAATGATGCTATACTGGATCACTGTGTGTTTACTGGTATTGCCATTCATTTACTTGGATTCCTGTTTCCCTCCAGATGGACTTTGGTGTAGGAGAAGGGAGCTTATTGTGTGGAGGAGACACTTTTCTGGACTCCTTTTACTTAAAATTCGTCTCAGAGCCCTTGTAAAACCTGGGACTCAGAAGCCTTCTCCAGCTTCTTTATTTCCCCTGAACCAACTTAAAGCTGCTTGTCAACTGCAAAACACTTCAGAAATTCCAAGGATACTCCTTTATAACAAATCCTGATGTGGCAGAGTGGAATGTGATCCTCTGACCCATTTCTTTTGTGTGCTCTGTGGGTACAGTCTGCATGTCAGCCTCACCTTTTTTGTTTATTTTTTGCCTTTACTGAGGGATGAGCCCCATCTTGTTAAAGAAAAGATTTTTATCAAGGCAGTGGTTGGGTTTTGTTTCTGTACTCTGAAGACACTATTTAATTTTTTTTTTAATCCTTAGCCCTTGAATCAGATTGCTGATTTAAAAAAACCAAAACCCATTCCCCCCCCCCCACTGAGATCTAGATTTATTGGAGTAGTCCCTTCCACTTATACAGATATTTGCTAAAAGGAAAAGAGTTACATTTTTAAAAATCTCTTTAAATTTGATGTACTCTCAAACATTTTCTCCCCAGGATCTTTCTTAGACCTCAGCATCATGCATGTGATAAGTTATGTCTCTAGTATAGATTGAGGTCTTTTGCACATTCCATTGTTAACAAAAAATTACAAGGCAAATGGCAGCAATTGAAAGATGGAGATGCTTGTTATCAATAGCCCGACCGACTGGCTGAAGATGGACAAAGGCAAAGGTTAATTTTAAAAAGCAATCTGAGGTGCTTCTGAAACCTGCACGATCGGACTCCAGGCTCAAGATCTCCAGCCTGCGGCCATTCCTGATCAGACGGGCTCTGGGTGCTTGCAACACGCTTCTACTCCTATGTGACTGGTTCTAACCACCCTTTCCCTCTCCTTTTGTTTTTGATCTGTTTCAGGACATGGAGGCGTAAATCAGCTTGGGGGGGTTTTTGTGAATGGACGGCCACTCCCGGACGTCGTCCGCCAAAGGATAGTGGAACTTGCTCATCAAGGTGTCAGGCCCTGTGACATCTCAAGGCAGCTTCGAGTCAGCCATGGTTGTGTCAGCAAAATTCTTGGCAGGTAAAGACAGAAGCTGCAGGCTTCCCTTGATTTTTCAAATAACAACTTAAAACATGACCCCATAGCTGTGCAATGTGCGGGTGTCATATTGAAAATCATGGTGGCGCTTCACCCACATGCCTAATACTTAAGAGTTTGCAAAGCTCAAGCCATTCAGTTCAAAGTAGTCCTTTTTGTAAAAATAAATCTTTTTATGTTTGTTTATTAGTGAGAGAGAAATAGAGCACCAGTGGGAGATAGGCAGAGAGAGAGGCAGACACAGAATCTGAAGCAGGCTCTAGGCTTTGAGCTGTCAGCACAGAGCCCAACGCGGGGCTCAAACCCACAAACCGTGAGATCATGACCTGAGCCGAAGTTGGATGCTTAACCGACTGAGCCACCCAGGCGCCCAGTCAATTCAAAGTAGTCCTGGGAAACCCCTGTTTCAAGTGACACGTGGAATGGGTTGACTCAATCAGGAGGAATGACATGCTTTCTGAAAGCCTGGTGATTTATTCCAAAGAACCCAAGAATAAGAGGTTCTTGGGAATTTCCCCTGCCCATGTTAGGTGAGCCTGGGGCCTGAGCAGGGCTGGGTGGAAAACCCACAAGTTATAAAATCACGTTATCAGAGTTCAATGTTTCATTTTAATGTCTTCAAAAAGCCCATTCCATTTTTAAAAGTCAGCTGTCATTTTTAGTTTTTGGTTACCACCGACTAGTCTTATTATGTTGGGTTGTAGTGTTTTCCTTCCGTACGTTGTGTTTCCTTTGTATGACAAGCATCGTAAAGTGTATATTAGAGGAAAAAAACTCCAACGCTAACTCTCAAATCTGACATTTGAAAGTTGCCACTTGACCCGTCGATTTGCTGCAGGCAAAATACTAACAATGCGAATGCTCCCAGAGGGCTGGAGAGCCCAGCCTTTGAGCACTCTTATTTGTTTTCTCGGGAGAGCCTCAGCCCGGTTGGTAGAGGGAAGCATGTTTTGAGATAAAGAAGCAAATCTACAGAGGCCAAGTGACTGTGACTGACCCAGGTCCATCCAGCTAGTCAATACTCAGACTGGGAAGAGGCCTCAAGGATTCTTAGACCCTCAGCACCTCACCATACCGCAAAGACAAAGCCACAGGCTTGTTTCGGAGTTTGTGAAGTTGTTAGAGGTCCTGGCAGCCACGAGTATCCTCAGGTTTAGCCGTGTAGAGCTCTCTCAGGACTTTTCTCCCTGGGTCAGAAAACAACCTTGGTTGTAGCTTGCATTATGATTTGAGAACAGATGCCTGAATAGAAACGAAATACTTTGAAGTGTGTCAGTGACGTTGTGACTATTTTGCTTGCTCTCTCCCTTTCCTCTGCTGGAATTTAAGACATTCTTTCAGATGGAAGGAACAAGTTTCTAACCTTGGGGAGCCTTGCTGGAGGCCAAAGGAAGAGGTTTCAAGGCCAGGGGTCTGGCGTCCCCTTTGGGGACCTTGATCCTTGTGTGAATTCCTTATCCCCTGCCCACCTCCTGTCCCCTCCGCCAAAGAGGCTCTGGGCTCCACTCCTGGTCAACGCTCAGCAGCAAATGAGCACCAGCCAGAGTTCAAGGGAGAAGGCTGGACATTAGCATGATGCTCTTGTTAGATGGTGGTTTTCGGCAGGAGGATTGGGAGTGAGAAGGAAAGAAGGAAAACAGAGGAGAGGGAAATGAAGAGAAAAGAGAATGGTTGGTTTTAAAGAGAGAGAGAGAAATAGGGAAATGAGACAAGACACAAGAGAGAGAGAAAGAGAGAGGAAAGAAATATTTGAGATTATCTCAGGGTCAGACTTCGAGAGTCGAGTGGATCTTAGCTATCTTCTTGGGAAGCCTCTTCATTGCACTGAGGGAGAGAGAAAAAAAGAAGGCCCTTCCTTTGTTTTTGCTGAGACATCTTGGCTGGGCCGACATTTTGCTTGCTATTTGAAATCTTCTCAGGGCAAGATGCCGAGCCCTTCTCAGAGGGGATGTCCAGATGCCGGTCCTCATGTTCTGGTGCCTGGGAGCCCCTCCAAATCTCCCCTGGAGACCAAAGGGGCCAAGGACCTTCCCAGGCCCAGCCGGCAGTCTCCAGAGGCCCAGAATAGATTTGTCACTAGGTAGAGTGGCACTCGGAAGTTATGCGCCGCTCTGGTGCCTGGCCGTTTAAGTTGTCAACAATAAATTGGAATTTCATAGCTCATTATTTTCATAACTAAGAACCACAGTGGACAAAATGTCACTCTAATTAGAACTGCCTTTTAAGAAACAAGTTCAGCCCGAAAACAGTGTGACTGGGAATTTCTGAACTGGGGCTATTCCATCTACTCACTTTTTTTTTTCTTTTTTTGGTCACCGAAGAATTTGATGGGCGTACTCGGAGCGAAAGATTATAGACAATGTGTTGTGCGTTGTGGCCGTGGTTTTCAGAGGGTGCACGATGAGGCAGGCAGAGACCCCCGTCATCTTGGGAAGGTGGCGATCTGCCAGCAGTGTGGGCATTCAGTCCACAGAGCTCGAGGCACAGGAGGGGCTGGAGAGGCACAGCCTAGTGGCATGTGAGGCCCATTTAAATCCACCCAGAAAGCCTGGCTCTTGTCTTCTTTCACTGGAGCCTGGCTGGGAGGTTCAGACCATTTGGAATTGGGTGGTATGTTACACAGTAATAAACACTCAGAGGATTTAATCCGCAACGCGTGCTCTTTATGTTTTGCAAAGCTTTTTCTTAACCATTCTGCATTTCTGCCTGTGTCCTGTGAGGCAGGCAGGGTAAACATCCTCCCCTTATTTATTATACAAATGGCGTCACATGGAGGCCCAGAGACGCTAAGTGATTTGGCCAAGGTCACACAGAGCCCTTGGCTAACACGCCCACCTCTTTACTCCCAAACTGATGTTCTTCGCATGGACCTACACTGTGTTGGTGGCTGCCGTTTGTCTGTCGTGTGTGAGCCAAAAGGCGGCATGGCTGTTTTGCTGAGATGAAAGAGCAGCTCTTCCGTCTGATTCCTCACTTGATACCGTTGCCAGTTGGGGTTTCCCCTGGGGTGCCAGGACTGCCTTCTAAGGGCCTCGCTGATGCGTCAGTCAGAAGGCAGACAGAGACCTCTCGTGTAAAGACCAAGCAGCTATGGTTGGCACTGCTCAGGTGGGCTGGGCGGGGGGTCCCAGATGCTGCCGCCCCCTCTGCTCTCTCAGCTGCGGCGGGAACACTGCAGCCTCATTCGAATGATAGATACAGTTTGAGTATTCCAGCGAGGGTTGTCCTTGCGTCTGTAACCTCTGCCCCAAGCCAGTGCCTGTCTTAACAGGTGCCCAGCGAGGAGTGAGTGAGTGAAAAGAGGTCTGTGAAATGCCTGGTAAACAGTAGAGCTTCCTACAATTGCCTGGGATCATCACCACCATTATCATTTTAATTTTCGCCATCAAAGCTGAGGTTTGCTCTAGTGGGAAGAACGTCAGAGTCGGGTGAGAGCTGGGACCGCCTCTAACTTCCAGAAGGCAGTTGAGCAAGGCACTTATTCTAATCAACAGTTTCCCCTCCATAAAACCCCCGCTGGCCCCTTAGGATTGACGTGAAGATCAAGATAATTTGGGGCAGAGCTCTGTAAATTTTGGAGCCCTGTGCTAAATAATGAGTTATTGTGTTGATAGTAACAAATGGCTTTTTATTGTAAAATTGGAAGGATAATTGGAAGCTGCAGAAATTGCCATGTGCCTTGATTTAGCTGCCTTTCTAAACTTCTGGCAAAATAATGTTTTCTTGGATGTCTCTTAAAGCCTGTTTGTGACTAATAACAATTTTTCGGTAATTACAGAAGGGGGAAGGATAGGTTGAATTTTGCCTTATTGTCCAAATTTGAACATGACCCACTTTTCTCACTGAAAAACAGAGTTTCCACATCCACATCACTGCTCTCAAATTATTTCATGTTTCTAGAATGTCCACTAGGTTGGCCCTAACTAGATTTCCCCAGGCTGAGAATTTCAGCATCTCTTTCTTTTATTTTTTTAATGTTTATTTATTTCTGCGTGTGTGTGTGTGTGTGTGTGAGAGAGAGAGAGAGAGAGAGAGACAGAGACAGAGACAGAGACAGAGACAGAATCTGAAGCAGGCTCCAGGCTCTGAGCTGTCAGCACAGAGCCAGATGTGGGACTTGAACTTGTGAACCATGAGGTCATGGCCTGAGCTGAAGTTGGAAGCTTAACTGACTGAGCCACCAGGTGCCCCTCAGCATCTCTTTAAATGTGACTAGTCATTGGGTCTTGGGTAACACTTCCTACCCGTCCCATGGGAGAATCACCTCTTCTCTTTACCTATTATAAACTCTTTATTTATTTTTAAATGTTTTATTTATTTCTAGGAGAGAGAGAGAGAGACAGTGTGAGCAGAGGAGGGTCAGAGAGAGAGGGAGTCACAGACTGAAACAGGTTCCAGGCTCTGAGCTGGCAGTCAGCACAGAGCCCGACGCGGGGCTCGAACCCACGAACCGTGAGATCATGATCTAAGCGAAAGTCTGAAGCTTAACCGACTAAGCCTCCCAGGCGCCCCTATTATAAACTCTTTAGGTTGAAAACTTACCAATCATTGGGCTGCATGGCTGGCTTAGTCAGTAGAGCATGCAACTCTTGATCTCAGGGTCGTGAGTTCCAGGCCACATTGGGCATAGAATTTACTTTAAAAAAAAAAAAAAATTACCAGTCAGTTCTAAATGTCTCCCCAGCTAAAAAATTTCCAACTACAAGATAATCTCCTTTGCAAGAGGAAGTCAAGAATTCCTCTGTAAATAATGAGAGACATCCAGTAAAGGCTCAGATTCAGAAAAGGAATCAAGTAATTTTTTCCCCCTGAAATGGTCTTTCACGGCACTCTTCTTCCCGGTCTCGGTTTTACTGTAAAACCCTGACATCCTATTTGTGTTAACGAGGAAGAGCTGATAGCATGGAAATGTCCTTAGAAACAGCGATTTACCTCAGGGGAGGTCTTTGAAAGAACTGCAGTGACTTGTGGTTTTTATTTATTTATCTATTTTTTTGATTGCTTGGGTTTTGACTTATATATAACATATATTCCCAGTTAATTCTGGAATTAACAGCATTTCTTTTTTTTTTTTTTAATATTTTTTTATTTATTTCTAGGAAAGAGAGAGAGAGAGACAGCGTGAGCAGGGGAGGGTCAGAGAGAGAGGGAGACACAGAATCTGAAACAGGCTCCAGGCTCTGAGCTGGCAGTCAGCACAGAGCCCGACGCGGGGCTCGAACCCACGAACCGCGAGATCATGACCTAAGCGAAAGTCGGACGCTTAACCGACTAAGCCACCCAGGCGCCCCTGGAATCCAGCATTTCTTTTAATTTTAGGCTAGGGTTGTCATTTTAATCTTCTGGCAAAAAAAGTTGCATTTTAGGGGACAGTTTCGCAGAATGCAGATGGAATCGGCTAGGGGATGTGAGTACTGGTAAATTAAAGGCACAAGTCAATTTTCTGGGGGAAATTTTAGCTCAGGAGGCCAGGCCACTGTCCTGATTTGGTCATTGGATCTTGTGTGACTCTGGGCAAGCCTTTTGACCTCCATGAATCTCTGTTTTATACCTATAGATGGGGACCTGTTCATTCACTTATTCATTCATTCATTCGAAATATTTATGTGCTTTAAAACTGTGGTGGGGATCAAAGGGGAAAGCTGACTTGAAAGTTTTCTGTAAACTGTAAAGTGGTAGATAACTGTGATAGAGTTAATTAACTAATTATTGCGTGGCATCTGGACCAGCACTGTCCAATAGAAATATAACATGAACCATGTTTGAAATTAAAAATTTTCTGGTAGCATATTAGGGAAGGGAAAATGAACAAGTGTAATTGATTTTATATATTTTATTTAACCCAGTATATGGAAAAATGTGATCGTTTCAGTATATAACCAGTATAAAACTTATTAACGAGATATTTTATGTTCTTGTTTTTGTACTAAGTTTTGACGATCTTGTGTGTATTTTATGCTTCCAGTACACCTCAATTCAAATGAGCCATATTTCGGATGTTCCAAAGCCCCATATGGCTAGGCTACTGGCTGCTGAATTAGACAGCAGAGATCTGGATGTGTTCTGGACAGAGTAGCTATTTTGTTGCAAACATCCATTTTGCTGGTTCCTCACGGCTAAGCTCCTTTCTGCTTGGGTCCTAGGTATTATGAGACGGGGAGCATCAAGCCTGGTGTAATTGGAGGATCCAAACCAAAGGTCGCCACGCCCAAAGTGGTGGAAAAAATTGCCGAGTATAAACGCCAAAATCCCACCATGTTTGCCTGGGAGATCAGGGACCGGCTGCTGGCAGAACGGGTGTGTGACAATGACACGGTGCCCAGTGTCAGTTCCATCAACAGGTGAGGGGCTGGTGCCTGGGGGGGCTAGGGATCTGGGGGTGGGTGGGTATCCTGGAGGCTCTGTGAGTGCTTTTCCTAAAAATCTGGTCTCTCTATTCATCAAGACCCATTAGGGGTTATCGGACAAGAGGGGTACTGTTGGGGCTAGACTGGTCTCTCTATATTGCCCTTCTTATCTTTCCAAAGTAGGCAAGGGTCCTAGGCTCAGGGAGAGAAGGCCACATCAGTACCCAGGCTGCTTGAGAGTCTTCAGAGCCCAGCGTGATTTCTATCACTCTCCCTTTACCACCGCCTCTGTGTGTGGGACAGTTAGCAGCAAAGTGTCCTGATTAGGCCTTCACAAATGTCACTTCCTTGTAAGCCCATGCTCAGGGTCTCAGCACCGGCTCATATAAATCAGAGCTTCCCAGGAAGAAAATCCCTGCCTCCAGTCTGGGCGGAGGTGGAGCGCAGAGCCTGGACTTGAAGTTGGGAGATTTGGTTCCTTGTCCCAGCTCTGCCACAAATGCCAAGTGTGACCCCGACAAAGCTCTTCCTCTCTTTGAGAGCCCAGAATCTTGGTGGTCCTCATGTAGGTCAGTGATCTCGAAGAGTGACGTCCAGGACACTAAGATGCTGTGGACTCAGGGAGATGCCTTCTCTCCAATTGCTCTCAGTCTCACCCTTGGAGAGAAAGAACCAGAGAAATACCGTGAGTACCAGGCATGGGATCTTCCTGGGAGCCACAACGGCACCTTCTTTGAAGTCTGATCCAGGATATATCTAATGGATATCTAATGGATATCTAATAGATATTCAGAGCTGCAAAAAATTCCTGACAGAAATTTTTCTATTGTAAATGGCGGAAGTCTCAACTCCGTTAAGCCTATAGACGTCAAGGATGAAGTTGTGAGGTAAACAGAAATGCTTGTTCTCTAAACTCCACAAGGAAAAGAGAAACCAGCTGACTGAAAACTTGAACGGTCCCCATTTCTCCAAGGTCACACCCTACCCTTGTCTGTGCAGAGCCTGTCCAGGCACAGCAGACCCCTCACCCTCTGGCAGAAAGAGAGGGTCAGACTAGAATGTCTCTGAGATCCCTTCTGGGCTTGATGGTTGTTCCTTCTGTGACGACTTGAATGCACAGAATCAGTGTGCGTGCATGTGTTGGTGTTTTGAGACCTGCTGTTTTATGAGCCAAGAGCCTGTTTTCTTTCTCTCAGCAAATCTTTACCTTGGGCCTGACATCATGCAAGGTACCGAGCACCCAGGCACACTGTCTCATGGTCTGTGTTCAGAAGGCCTCCTTGTCCAGGATGGGATTCAGGCACGCATGAGAATTGTGGTCAGCCCAGATTAGCTGAGGAGAGAGCAACTATTGTGGTGGGTTTGGAGTGGGGGGAATAACTTCTGTTCTTCTGGGTTACAGGGGGCTCCAGTGTGCTTTCGGAGTCCCTTACTTCTGGCTCATTGCAGGATTACCATCACACAGGGCAACATGACTTTTTCACAAGTCCCCAGAAGCCCCCGTGTGGGGTAAGGCATACAGTGCCTATAGCAATGAGGGAGTGGAAGCCTGCTGTACAGAAGACCCTCCACCAAACCCATGGTTGGGCTTTGGGGGCCTGCGGACTTCCCAATGTAGAGTATATGTGTAATCGGTGGTTTGACAGATAACTTCGGGTTGCCTGTGGGGGTCCTAAACTCCTAATGCCTGCTGTTGGCCCGCAGTAACGTTAACAAGTGAAGAAGGCTAGGTATGAGGTGATAGGGAAAGGTGGGGTCTGTGGCAAACCAGACAGCACAAGCATTACTTAAGGGGTGGGTGCTTCTCGGGTCCAGCTGAATGCCTCCAGGATTTTTTTTAAAGATTATTTATTTATTTGGAGGCAGAGCATGTGTGCGCATGCGAGTGCGTGAACCCATGAGCAGGGGATGGGCAGAGAGAGGGGGAGAGAGAGAATCCCAACCAGAGTCTGTGCTGTCAGCGCAGAGCCCAACACGGGACTCAGTCTCACAGCCACGAGATCATGACAGGAGCCAAAATCAAGAGTCGGATGCTTTACTGACTGGGCCACCCAGGTGCCCCAAAATCTCCATATTATTAAACGGTGGCAACGAATTTCAGTGAAAAATAAACGCCTTACAGGACAAGCATAACTCATTTGCGGGGCTCCAGCTTATATCGTCTGTAATACAAGGATGAAAACGGTCTCATGACAAATTTCTTTTAATGTATTTTAGAAAAATATAACCGGAACACCAAACCAGTGAGTGTGAACTTTATGAACTATCCCTCCCATTTACAGTATTGCCTCATAAGATAAGTCTGTTTAAGTCAAAATGTAAGTTGCTGGAAAGGAACATATGAGGTAGAAAGAGCACAGTGGCCTGACGGAGTGTTGGGGGTGTAAGGAGGTACTTGCACGAGTGTCTAGGGAAGCCACAGACCAGCTGGTGCTTTGTGCCTCGAGTTGCGCTGGGTGGCTGCTTGCGAGTTGCGGGGCCCGTGGCCAGCCTCGGGCTCCTGTGTCTGTCCGCAGCAGTGGCTGTGCCTCTGAGGCCTTTTCACTTCTGTGGTCTCCTACAGCCCTCGAGGCTTATCTCTGTTCTGTGGCAGGTATAGAAACTGAGGCCCGGAAGCGGAACGCCGAGGAATGATGATTTTGAGGTAGAGCTGGGAGTAGGCTCCCCTGATGTTAGTAAGAAGAATGCCTGGCTCTTTCCACCATTGTCCCGTAGGACTCTACCAGTGACAGAGCTGAGGGGCTGAGAGAAGAGAGGCGAGGAGGAGTAAAACGGTCATTCCTCCTCCATGGCCACGCACCTTGCAGCCTGTGTGCTTTGCTGCCTGTCTGCAGCTCTGCCTGTGCCCACAGCCCTCTCCGGCACCCCCTGGGGGCTCTTCTCCGGGGGCACACTCTGGCTCCTTAACTGCACGCTTCACTCAGAGCTCTTTGTGTCTGTGACCAACCAACCCAGCAATGCAGATGAACGGGGACACTGTTGGTGCCCATCCCCCCAACCCTGCCCAAAAAAGCCCGAGCCATCTCTGCGTGCAGTTTTATTTTCCATATGAAGGCAAAGCTGCTCTCCAAAGCTGTGTTCAAACAGCAGTTTCGAAATAACTGTCTTGCAAATGTCATGATGTAAGAGTGTCCTCAGATTCCTCTTCTGGCCCCTGGGCGACTTCTCACTAGTCCCCTGTTTCACACAGCGAAGGAGGGAGTGGTGGCTGGATTTGTAGCTCTTCTGGTGTCCACAGCATCGTCTCCACTCTCCACCCCTACAAGTATATGCCTTCCTGCCGTCTTCTGGGAGAGCAACCTGGGAACCCGTGACTGACACGGAGTTCAGTGACACCAAACCTGTTCTGCTGAGCCTGTGGGAGGTTTGCTGGGACACAAGCCATCATGTTTATGTGGCTTCCTAAGGACAAAAAAGGGCTGGGGGTGCTGCACGACCTGCACCAAGGAGTTTTAGAATCCAGCCTGAACGCCAGTGGGAGGTGACTGTCCAAGACCTGATGGAAGCTGATGGAATGGAGCCTTCCTTCTGTTCCAGTCCCGGGGCTCTAAATCAGGGGCCAAGCGGTGGGGACTGTGAATGGCATTCCCAGTTAGAAGGACAGTTCCGCTTAGCAACAGTTGGTTGTTGTCATGTGAGAACGTGGGATTAGTATTGCTAGGTGTTTGGCTTTTTCAAGGGAAGCTACACATCCATGTATTTATCTAAAAGCTCCCACCTTACAAATATTGGCAACTAGTTCAAATAAAAACAAATGACTGTGCAGGCCTAAAAAAAAAAACAAAAAACCCCCAAAAAACTCATTCAGGAATCGATGTGGACTGGGGATGACAGTTTGTAAACTCTACTCCTAATCTGAACTTGGGCCGCAAGACTTCTGAGACTGTTTACCGGTTCCGCTCTTTCTTCTCCACTGGCCTGGGTGTCAACTGTGGGCCCTCTCCCAGCATGGTCCAGTTGGAACCTTGGTTTTGGATTCTTAGCACAGCCGATGGCCCAAGATTCTTACTGCACCAATGGCAGTTTGATCAGTGTGGTAGATGTGGGTCTATCTTCAGCTCTGTCTTCCTATTTCCTTTTTAAAGGCATCATGATTTTCTTCTTCAATGTACTGGTGTATGGGGGGCGGGGACGGAGGGATATGTGTGTGAGAAGACCCAGCCTTTCAAAGAAGGGAGGGTGATGTTGAAATAGGATCCTTACAAATGCCTGTAATACCTGAAACCCTTGGAGTTTAGCGCCTCAGTTTCTAAATGGATTTGGAATCCAAATAGATTTTATGTCTCCTATAGGAAATATTTAGATGAGGGACCACTTCCTTTGAATGTGGTTCAAAAGAAATTGCTCGAGCACAGGAGCTGAGAGTCTGGGCTGACCTGCTGCGTGACCCTGAGCAAGTCACTCGAGCACTCTGGGCTTTGGTTTCCTCATTTGCGGGAATTGGTGGATTGTTGAGTTCCCTTTCCTGCTGGACCGTCTAGGATGTTCACATGGCTCCCAGGATCATGCTCAGGCCCAGCGAAGTAAAGGCAAAACCCTTTAGTATTAACTGCCAGTTAGCCAGACTGTCTCCAGTTTAGAAAAGGTCCAGTGTGACTCTTATTGTGACACGTCTTGACGACTGCTTGTTAATTTTAAATTTTTTTAGAATTGCTGTGATTCAATTAGTCTTATTCTTCCCACTACCATTTCTTCTCAATGGAAGATAATGCTCTTTGTTCTTTTTTTTTTTTTTTTGGCAGCTGCTGCAAGCAGATGGGCAAAATCTCTATCCCTGGGGACAGCTTTGGACGGTTCCCTACAATTCTGGTCTCGCCTATAAAGGACAGTTCCTCTACAGCCCTAAAATAGGGTGTGGGGTTGGCTACTTTGCCCTCCCCAGTTCCCAAGGGGATCTCATGTGTTTTTAAGGCATTTGTGGAAAAGATGAACCTTTTAAGGTTGAAGCTCGTCTTTAATCTTTCTGAAGATAACAGCTAACATTTATAGCAAGCTTACTATGCAATAGCTGCTATTCTAACTAATTAATTAGTTGCATTCTCGTAATAACCCTATGACGTCGGAATGATTCTTAGTCCCATTCTGCAGATGAAGAAACCGATGCACAGAGGGGTTAATTAATTTACTCAAGGTCATGTAGCTGGTAAATTGGAAAACTGGGATTCAGACTCTAGTGGTCTGATTCTGGAGCCTGTGGTTTTAATCACTATGCTGTAGTGGCCTCTCAGTGACTTATAACAATTAATAATGTTTTACCAAATGATTTATAAGTATTTTAAAAAGAAAATAAGGAAAACATAATTTTCTTTGCTCTGCCTAGGTACAAACTCAATGGCCAGGCAATACGAAAAGTTAGGACTTTATGGGGCGCCTGGGTGGTTCAGTTAGTTAAGCATCCGACTTCGGCTCAGGTCACAATCTCATGGTTGATGGGTTTGAGCCTTACGTCGGGCTCTGTGCTGATAGCTCGGAGCCTGGAGCCTACTTTGGATTCTGTGTCTCCCTCCCTCCCTGCCCCTACCCTGCTCATTCTCTCTCTGTCTCTTTCTCTCTCTCAAAAATAAATAAACGTTAGGGGTGCCTGGGTGGCTCAGTCGGTTAAACGTCCGACTTCAGCTCAGATCATGATCTCACAGTTCGTGGGTTCGAGCCCCGCGTCGGGCTCTGTGCTGACAGCTAGCCCAGAGCCTGGAGCCTGCTTCGGATTCTGTGTCTCCCTCTCTCTCTGCCTCTCCCCTGCTCACGCTGTCTCTCTCTCTCTCAGAAATAAATAAAACATTTTTAAAAATTAAAAAAATAAATAAACATTAAAAGAATTTTTTTAAAGTTAGGACTTTGTGCTGGAAGTAAAGGGAAATAGTTCTCATATATTTTACCATGTTTATATATACATAAACCATAATATAGATAAACTATATTTATATCTGGTATAGCCAGATATTCACATTGAGCTATATCTTTGTAGACAAACGCACACGTATCCCTGGAAAAGGTGACATACACAAAAATCCAGAATTAGATCAGATTCTAGCTTAATTCCAGGTGGTCCAAAAGACTACCTCACTCCCAGGTCCTTGTCAATATGCTCTATGTTTGCTTAGTTAAAATAAGCGTTTTGAATATTGGAGGAAACAAACAAAGACTGAATGTATTTGACAACACTTAAGCTGACTCATAAGAAAAAGGCAAAAGGCCCTGGGGGCCCCAGGGGCCTGGACTCCAGAGGACCTGCGGTGGGGCTGTGGTGTGAACAGAAATGTCCGTTCCAGGCTCTCAGCCGAGCATGCTGAGAGGCCTCAGTGCCCACCACTGAGCTGTGAGATCGCTGAGGGCAGAGGCCATCACCCCGTGAGGGTATCCTCCTCCCTCTCCATTTGTACAAGCTGGAGACTCAGTGCAGCTTGAAACATGAACTTCCAGAAATAACTGTCTGGAACGTGAAAAAGCCTCTCGCCTAACACGGAGTGAAGAGAGCGGGATGCAAAACCGTGTATGTGATTTAATCTTGATTTTGTTAACAGGAAGTGGATATTTTATAATATGCACAGGAATGTTAGCATAAAGGAAATATATCAAAATGCGATGTTAGATGTTTTCTTTATATTTCTTGTCCTAGTAGTTCACAGTGAGCACAAGTATTTTTATAATTAAGAAAAACCCTAGTAAATGTTCTTTAAAAGGTAATAGCTGGAGGCTGGAGTAGAAAGTCTCCAGAGAAGCTGAACATTCTATTAACACCCACCTTTGTCCCTAATGCCAGGGAAGGAGCTTTCTTGTAGACCCACAGGGACTTGGTCCAGCCCTAGTTGGGTGTGTTATGACACACAGGGCTTGGGGTCTGATGGAGGAGACCTATATGAGTATGTTGTTCTAGACAGAAATTGATAAGCTAGGCTTTCCAGAGCCCAAGCTCCTGCAGAAGAACATCAGAGCTGCCAAGGGCAAAGGAAAAGCGGTACCACTAGTAGCTCTTTTACATAGTAGGCTTTGTTGGAAGATCCTCCCCTCCCCCCCCCCGCAGAAAGGATTTAATTACTTTAGAGTGATCTGTTCCAACCCCCTCATCGTATTGAGGCCTGCAACAGAATGGACTGGCCCAGGGTCATAAACAAGGGCAAGGTCTCTGGAAAGACAGGCCAGCACACGTCTGGCTCCAGGCCTTGTGGGAGCCTCAGCATGAGGTGTTGTTCAGGCAGCTTTGGAGGCTTCCTCTTTTCAAAGGCAGGCCTGTCCCGTGAGCACTTTAACCCTTTCTAATTTCAGAGCAACACACACCTGTTTCCTTGGTAATTTTTAATGGGTGGGGATGTGACTCCTTCTGTGCCTCTCTCCTGCAGAGAAACCAGAGCACGTGGGCCCCCAGGGAACAGAGAAGTCACCTGGTTCAGTCCCCTCATTCCAACAAGGGACTGAGGGGCGGGCAGAGGTCCAGGAAAGGGAAGAAACTCCCTGTTAGCGTCACTCCGGGAGTCCCCTATGGAGCTGGGGCTGCTCCGGAGAAAAAGATGTCTGTTCTAACATTAACGTGTTGTCCTTTTTCTACACAAGAGGTACTCGAAGCCAAGAGAGGGTCACAAGTTCCCCAAGGACACTCGGGGGAGGTAGGGGCTGAATGGGGACTAGTCCATAGCGCTGCTAACCCCCTACACTCCCAATCTGGGGTCACAACCTCTCTCCTCCTCTGCCCCAGCTTGCCAGGGCTTTCCCTGCATAGCTAGTTGAGATCTCTTCTCCGTGGTGGTAAATATCCATTAATTTTTTCCCCCAACTGTCCACAGGATCATCCGGACAAAAGTACAGCAACCACCGAACCAGCCGGTCCCAGCTTCCAGTCACAGCATAGGTAAGAAGAACTTTTAAAAAAAAATTTAAAAATCTAATGGGCTCCAAATATTCTAAAGAACTTTTAATCATTCTTATGGACAGATAATTCTGCATAAAACACTTCGGCACACGTACTAATGCGCCTTCTTTGTCATTCTCCAAGGGCTGAACCTGGTAAATGAATTTTATAAATACTGCTAAAAGGTTTTGAATTTTACTGATTATTATGATAAATAGCTTTCACCATGAGACAGAAAATTGAAATCTAAGCCAAAAAAAAAATCCACTAATGGGGGTCTATAGAATGTCAGATAATTAAAGTAATAAATCAAGAAAGGGATACTTATTCATAACATTTTCTGCATCATTAGTCAGTAAGTAGTTTTGAATGTGTTTTTTTCTTCTATCAACCAGCCCTTCTGCAATTCTTTGTGCACTTGCAGTCTTGAGTGAAGATGTGGCAAAACTTCCCAAACTTTCTCTCTCTCTCTCTCTCTCTCTCCGATCTCATGTACTCCATGAACTGTCGAGGATTGCCAGTGGGGCTTTTATTACTTATGGGGGATAGTCTGAGTGGGCATGACTTATAAGAGTGGGAGTCCTATGTCCAACTACTAAAGAGTTTAGAAGTTTCCCTTGCCTGTCCCTTCCCCGAAAAGACTGTGATATGAAAATGACATGTGTCTATTTAAGACATATTATTTCTCCACTTGGGATAAAGGGAACACCTCTGGGGGGAAAGTTATTCTACTATAAGAAAGTGGTGACCATTCTATAAGCCTCTGACAGTCCCTGTCAATCTCACTTAATAATGCCTCAGACTGTGTAATGTTTCCACACCTTTGTCACTCCTTCTTTAAACTGAAGCAGCTCCCCGTGGTGATGGGGGATGGGCAGAGGCAGGCTTATAGTTCCAGCTCTGCCATGAACTCACCCAGTGAATCGTGTAAATCCCTTTACTTCTCTGAGTCTCAGTTTCCCCATTTGTGGACTGAATTGCAGGAACAAGGTGCTCCCTGAGGTTTCTGATCCTCCATGGTTGCCTCTCTGGATAAAGATAAGAGAGTAAAATAATTATTTAGTAATCCATTCAAAAAGTGTTTGCTAAGCCCCTGCTTTATATGGAGACCAGTGTTATAAAGGATGCAGGACAGAATCCCCATTCTCATGGGCTTCTCAGTTTAATGGGGGAATGTAACGAAAAGAAGTTTGCAAAACACTGAGATCAAGCTCAAGAAGGAAATGCAGGATGCTGTGTGAGCCAAAGAAAGGAGACTGTTACCAGCGCTGTTGAGCTGGGGTGGAGGGTTGAGGAGGGATTCTGGGGAAATGTTTGTGCCCGAGATTTCATTGTTGCTTTAACGCTTTCAAGATGATGGAGCAACGAATATTAGACTAAGAATAACATAATATTCTTTCACTTTGGTTAGAGGAATAATTCTACTTGTAGGTCAGTAGAATGCTTTGCGTCAGAAATTTTTGTAAAAAAAATGTACCTTAGACGCATACAGGTCCTTATAGTTTACAGACTTATTGAAGAGTGAGGAAATGGAAGTTGAGAGAGATTAAATAACTAGCCCAAGGTCACACTGCTCAGGAGTGACAGGGACAGAATTGGAACCTGGGTCTTTGAAGTCTAGCGGAATCACAAAATATCAGAACAAATTCCATTGGCTCTGTCAGCAACATGGCGAGCCTTGGTTAAACGTGGTTGTTGGTTTTCAAAGTACCAAATGACTTGTGATCTTCTTTCTTCCTCTGTTCTTTGCACCTTAATACAGAAAAGGTTGTGAGATTTGCATAAATCTATTTTGAGGAGCTTCTTCTGGTGAAGGAAAAGAGAAGTTAACGATTTCTACTTCTGTGTCTCCTAAGGAAGATCTAAAATCTAACTCAGATATGAGAAGAAAGGCCCTGTTCCCTCTAGGTCTGTAGGAGCAAGAGCTGCATATGCTCCAAGGAAAGCAACAAACAGCTTCTCATGCAATCACCACCATTTCTAGTAATTTCCTACACTTTAGAGTCAAAGGCGGCTCCACCTGCCTCCAGCTAGTTATAGCCCAAGGAAATGTGTCAGAGATTGGTTTGTAGGTTTTAATGAACCAAGAAAGAATTCCCACAGCCCAGAAATGGAAATTCAGCTGTACGGCTTGAGAGGACCCTGACAACTGACTGCACTTTTCCCTTGGACTCTGGGGTTAGGAGTTAAAGTGAAATTTGCACAAACCCTCCCCTCTTCTCCCCCATTCTTATCCTTTGGAAAGTAAAGACCTGGCCTCAGTCACAATAAGTCACTGACCTCAGCCCACGTTTCAGGGCAGGGGAAATGGAGACTTTCAGTCAGTAGACCTGAGGCGAAGTCCCAGTGCTACTACTTCTTGGCTAGATGACTTTGAGGGAGAATCGCTTCACCCTATGGAGCCTTCAGTTTCCTCATTTGACACAGGAGAATAAGAACACTTGACATTGTTGCAACCATCAAATGAAAAGCAAGCCATTAATGTGAAGCATCTTATTGTTTTTCATTATTACTTAACGAGGGGCAGATTGCTGTAGGGATTCAGACTTTAGTTTCTGGATTCTGTTGCCTTGGGCAAGTCGCTCACCTTTCTGGGAACCTAGGTTCCCTTACCTTTCCAGTGAGATAATGACATTACCTCTCTTACAAGATTGTTCTTAGAGTTAAATAAAATAATGATGCCTCAATAATGCCTGGCACCGAGTAAGTTCTCAGAAAACATTAGTTATCATTATACATATCAATATATATTATATATGCACAATATATTCTATTATAGAGCGTATCATTATTACATAATTAATATTGAATGTTAAAATCCAGGTAAACTAGAAGGAGAAAAGACGGTGAGGAAGTGTAAAAAGAAGGAACAGTTTGCCATTTGGAGTTTGGGTGGCTAAGTGTATGAGTGTGCAGGTATTTATGTCTGTGTGGATGGGTAGAGATGTAAGCAGGGAGTGAACCTGCCTAGTGAGTGGTCTAGGCTGGCTGGTGGTAGGCCCCCAGCCCCGCCCCCCCCTTCTCCATTCCCCTGCTTCTTGCATTCTTGGACAGGCTGGGGTTTGAGCTAGTGCCCTTCTGACGCTGTCCTGTGTTCCTTTTTGCACCGACAGCCCTCTAGCTGCCCGTGCCCCCCTCCCGCACCCCCCCCCCAGCAGCAGAAAAGCCTGCGCCGATGGCCCGAGGGCTGCCCCCATCACCCAGGTGTAGCGCTGCCCTAGGGCGGTGTCCTGGGCGCCCACTCACCGCCTCCCTCACCCCTGCTCCTCCGCAGGCAGTGGCGTCCGGCCCTGCGTAGGGTGAGTGCTCTGGTTTTGGCCGGCGGCCCGGCAAAGCGCCCGCCCCCACAGCCCTGCCGCCGGGCCCTGACCAGCCCCTCTCCCTCCGCACAGTGTCCACGGGCTCCGTGACGCAGGTGTCGTCGGTGAGCACGGACTCGGCCGGCTCCTCGTACTCCATCAGCGGTATCCTGGGCATCACGTCTCCCAGCGCAGACACCAACAAGCGCAAAAGAGATGAAGGTAAGGGAAGCCTCCGAAGCCCTGTCCCGGGCGGACCCGACGGGATCTGCCTCGGGGCAGTCAGGCAGGGGTGGAAACCAAGATGGCCACTGAGCACCGGCGTCCCCAGGGCAGGAGGACGCGGGGAAGAGGCTGGGCGCCCTGGGAGAGGCGGGCGGGGCGTTGGCTGGGACGGTGGCTTTCTCACCAGCCTGGCCCCATCTTCACTCCTTGGGTGGAGGAAAGTGGGTCCCGCAGAGTCCTCGCGGCCTGTAAGAAACCTGTGTGCAGATTTGATGCCTGAGGGCAGGGTGTGCGGGGTATAGCGCTGTGCCTCTGTCTCCTTTGTTGGGGAGCCGGGCGCTGGGCATCCTGCAGTGAGAGCGGCACACCTGGGCGGCGGCGGACAGCAGGTGGGCTCTGGAGGGGCTCCGCAAGCTCTCCCAGAAGGCCTCCTACAGACAGCCGTGATGGGGGGGGCGGGGGGAGGGCTGAGGAAGTTAATCATCTCATCTCTGCCCTTGGGCCTGGAAGGAAGGAGTGCAGTGGCCTCCCGGGGATTACAAAGATGACAATCTTCCCAGTTGGTTTTTCTCAACCCCTGTGTGTGCCTGCTGCCTGGGTCCCGGGCGCGGGCATCTCTGTCCTGCACATGGGCCCAACGGGTCTCCGTTCCCTGGTGGGCTGCGGGAGCAGCTGACGTTAATGGGTTTGAGAGGAGAAAGGAACCCCTGGGAGTCTGTAAGACCTTCTCCAGGAGAGGAAAAAAAAGAAAACAGGAAAGAAACCCGCCCATGGTCTAGGGCTCAGGAGCCGCGTGACAGAAATCTTGATTCAATTATTCTGTTCCTCAGCACAATTCCCTCTCTCGGCTCCCTGTAAGGGATGTGTGTTCTCGTGAGCACATGCCTAAGTACTTAAGATCTGTAACTAGAAAATTGAGTCTGCCCAGCGGAGGATTGGCTGGTGGTCTTCATGTTCTGGGCAGTGCAGAAGCTGGATCTGTGGCCGTTTGGAGCTGCGGGGCCGCGTGGGGACGATTCACGGCTTTGGAACCTCCCTCACCCCATTCCCCTGTTCTTGACGCTCGGAGCAGATGTCAGAAGTCTTTAACTCAGTGGGCGGCTGTGCTGTGCTACCGCAGGAGGCAGTGGGCCTGCCATCTCTGTTGGTTTATGGGGTTGATGCTGTTATCTTTTCTGCCATTGTCACCTGGACTCACAGCAGATGTGCCCAAGCTGGGGCCCAGCTGTGTTTGATCACGGCGGAGGGGCGGGTTGTGTGAGACTCCCTCACAGGCCGAGGGATCCAGGCACAGATTTTTGGAGAAATAAATAAAAGAATCTAGCTCGATGTTTTATCACCAAACAGACAGGTCCTGATTTGGGCTGGGGGTGGGGGTGGGGGGCTGTTTTACTGTGTTTGTGGAGCACTATGTGGCTTTTAGCTTCTGATCAGCGGCCACTGTTTAGCTTCTTATGCTGCTTCAAAAGGCATTGAGTGGGGGGCGTTGGGGTGTCTCAGTTAGGCGTCCGACTCTTGATTTAGGCTCAGGTCATGATCTTGAGGTTCATTAGATCGAGCCCCACATGGGCTCTATGCTGAAAGCACTGAACCTGCTTGGGATTCTCTCGCTCTTGCTCTGTCCCTCCCCCACTCATGCTCGCACTCTCTCTCAAAATAAACATTTAAAAATAAGAAAAAGCTATCGAGTGATCAGAATGCGGGTGTCGTTGGTCTAGACTGCTCTGTGCCATCAGATCATTTCTTGAAGATGGTGGCCCAGTTGGGCCAGAAGGACAGTGACAGACTGAGATGTGTCCAGATGGGTGTCACCTGGAGTGGCAGGGATCTGGATATTACAGCACCTGGAGAACACCCTGAGGCTCTCAGGTTGCTTCAGTACAACAAAGAGAAGAGTGAGCAGGGCTGGACTGTTACCTTCAAATATTTGGAGGGCTAGCCTGGAAGGTAAGAGGAATGACTTTGTTGTCTGGCCTTCAAGGCCAGCGTGCAGCAAATTCAGAATTTCAGCTCAGTGTAAAAAACAACTTGGAAATATGAGAGCAGTCTGAGGCAAAAGTGGGCTACCTTGATAGGTAGTGAGTGCCCTGTCACTAGAGGTATGTAAGTAGAGCCTAGGTGACCATGAGCTGGGGCTGCTGTATGAGAGTATCAGCGATCAGATGTAGGATTGGATAATCTTTGAGGTCAAGTGCTGATCCCCAGAAAGACCCGGGAAGTGATCTAGTCCATTGTCGAGGGCAAGGGAGGGGGCTAAGAGAGAATGATTTGATGGTCCTGGAAGCTGACAGGATTGGGAAGAGTGGGAGCCCCAAATGGCAACCAGAGCCCCTTCTCCCCTTGCAGCACCAGGAGTGTGTTAAAGCAGAGAGGTGGGCAGAAGTGCCCTTGTTCACATAAGCAACCTGCCTTGAAGGAGCACTCCCTGGTGCTCTTAGCTTCCCTTTCCCACCCTCCCTCCCTATCTCCCTGGATCCTGGCATTGGCTTCAGGGGGATTTAAAGAGGCAGAAATGGCCACCCCCATCTTATAGGGGAGGAAACTGAGGCCCCAAAGAGTTCTGTGACATTGGCAAGCCACACAGCTGGTGTGGCCTGGGGAGCTGGGAGCAGCCGGAGAGGCCCTGAAGGCCTCAGTTCCCTGGTATTCCCCCCCAACCCCTATCTGTTACCCTCAGTCCTTCCAGAGAGATGCTTGGGAGGCAGAGCGGCCTGGGACTGGGCAGAGCCTCAAGACTGTACGGGGAAGAGTTTCAAGCGGAAGGACCTGGTCAGCAGGTCTCCAGAGAGCTAGAGCGTGGTGAAAAAGTTAGAAACCAGCATTGCTGGGCATACCGGAGGCCTGGCCGCTTGCCACAGATCATGGTACATCCTTGGCAGCCTGAGGGAAGGGCTATGAAAGGGAGGCCGGGAGGGCCCAGAGGAGGAGGCCAAGAGGAATCTTCACCCCCATTTCTCAGATGAAGTGACTGAGGCTCTGCAAGGTGGCTTCTGCTTCGCAGTCATCTCCAGCTAGGACTTGGGTTTTGCCCTGTAGGCAGTTCCTGCTGCCACTCACATGCCCAGGCCTCGGGACAGGGGTGGGTGGTAACAGAGTCTAGTCACAGAGGGCCTGGCCTCTAGAGCTCACAGGCTGGAGGTCAAGACTGGCAAGCCCAAAGTCCCTCCAGTGGCAACTGTGTAAGATGGCGCTGTGATGGGCGGCGGTGACATCAGAGGGGGAGAGCAAGGCAGGCAGGGGTAGATTTTGACTAAAGGGATCCAGGAAGTCTCCTCCTAGGAAGTGGCCCTTTATCAAGGGGCAAAGAGTTTATACTGCTTCTGTTTTTAAGTTTAAAGCAATTAAAACCAAATGAAATATAAATTTTAGTTCCTCAGTTACACTAGCCCCATTTCAGAGTGTTTGATAGCCTCATGGTGTGCCGAGTGGCCACTGTATTGGAGGCTATGGCTTTGGTGCAAGTGCATGGCACATAATATCTGCTCGATGATCCCTTCTGGGTGGAATGGGTCAGTCACGTGCTTGTGGAGCGTTTGCCATTGGTAAGGAGGGGGTGTGGGTAATCTCCTCAGCCAGGAGGGTTTCTGTTTGGTATTTTGGGCTTCCACAGAAAGCTCTATTTGAATAAAGAGTTCTGTAGCAAAAACAAACAGTGAGGATACCATTAGATTAGTGGATTGCCAGGGGCCCTTTTGGTCTAGAAATTCTAGGACTCTCCCTGGGACATTTGCCTCCAGGGTCAGCTACGGGGACATGGCCACTGCGTCCAAATCTCAGACGAGCTGTGTGCGCTCCGGTGGCAAAGAAGGTCCTGGGGCCTCTGAGCGCAGAGCTGGGGCTGGCTGAGGGAGCTACAGGGCAGCAGAGGAGTGCAAGGGACGGCTCTTGGGTCTGGGCCAAGGATGGAAGCATTAGCTTGGGAAAGGAATGAGCTCCCTGTCATCAGATGTGTGATCAGGGGCTAGACAAAGGAGAGGCAGAAGAGCCAAAGAAGGCACTGTCATTTGGACTCCATGACTTTGCGACCTGTTGCACTCTGGATAGCAAGTGCTTCTGTGACCACCTTGGTCTGGAAGTCGTTTTCCCTAGCTTTTCCCTTCTGCCACCTGAGTCTGAGGTGGCCATCCAAATGGACTTGACTGGGCAGAGGCCACATCACGTGTGTTTCTCTCCCTGGTCAGCTCCTTGGCACAGGGCACACAGCCCAGAGAGGCTCAGGAGGCCTGTGGCTGGTATGGAGAGCCAGGCTAGTGTGCAGCTTCGTCTCCTACTTGGGCCAGCCTGAGAGCCTTCCTGACTCTCTGGCGTAGGCCCTAGGAATCCCACTGGGCCAGGGGACAGAGCCTGACACAGTGTTTCCTTCCCTGGAAGGCCGGACTGGGCAGGGCAGGAGCGGCTGTGAACAGTGGCCATGGGTGAAAGGGCAGCCCCAGATCCTCTGTTTCTTCCTGGGCCTTTGATCTCCGGTGGGGTCTCTCTCTGTCCACCACCTATGATCGGGGCACCCATTCAGGTCCCCTCAACTCCCCCTTCCCCTCATACCCCCAGAATTTGAAAGGCCCTGAACACACCAAGGTCAGCCGTATCAGAATCACTGTCACCAGCTCAGAAGGCTGCCCAGTCCAGGACCAGTGTGGACTGTGGGAGCCACAACTCCTTTGTGAGCAGTCCAGGCTACGTTGCAGGTGGAATTTCTGGCCTTCTGGCCCCTGGACTGCTCTCTGCCTGAAGGGGGCACAGGACAGGCATCCAAAATCCCTAGGTGGCCTGTCCTTTTCAAGAAATGCCGAGTCCAGCATGACTGTCATGGACAGGTTTGGAGGGCATGTAGCAGGGGCTTCTGTCATGACTAGTCCACCCCTCTTTCTGGGGGTGCCTGTCTCCTCCTCATGTCTTTCATTTGGAGGTTCATCTTATCCCGTGTTATCTGCCTCTGTTTATGTCCTGTTAATAGACCTTTTTCTGTGCTTCTGTCTCCTGGTCTAGTGTGTGCGTGC